AAAAAAAAGAGCAAACAGGTTACAAAAAACAGAAATCAAAATAAAAAAACCGACGGAACATGGTTGTTTCGATGGCGGAAAGAAACCGATGGAACATGGCTATTTCGATGTCGGTGGCGTGAAACAAACTCCCATAATCTGCTCGCTTAACGACGTGAACGACTAGGGTCTACTCGTTGCTCGAGGGTCGTCGGAGGCGCGCAGATGGACGGTGACCGATGGGGCTGCTGCTACTCGGAATCACCGCCAGTTTCTGCTGCTGCTTGATGATTATCGGCGAAGGATGCCATCGTGAACAACTGCTCGGTCTATCTCATTCTCGTCGCTGCGATGGTGAGATTTTGAGAGAAATATGAAATCCTCTTCTCTGATTGCTCAATTGATAAACAGAAGGGAAATCTGATTTGACAGCGGCGTAAAGGGAAATTAGTTTCTTCCTTAATTAAATGATAAGTCACTAAAATTTGAATTCTGGTATAAAATATTTGCAACTTTTTTAGGTAATTTAATTAAATGATAAGTCACTAAAATTTGAATTCTGGTATAATTGAAAATATTTGTAATTTTTTTAAATAATTTTAAAAATAAGTATATATTGAGTAAAGAATTGTAATATGATTTAAATGGGTTGGTATGCAATTTCCTCAAAATTGTTTTGAATTGAATCGTTCGCAAATTGATGGGCCGAAAATTCGTGACTTTAACTGGATTTCTGTTTTTAAGGGTCAAAACGATGATTGTATAAAAAGATGCAACACATGTAAAGAACAGCCCAAAGAATGATGATTTTGCACTTTTGCGGTTGCAAACTATAAATTAACAGCAAACATCTCACATCCTCAATTTACTATACCCACAACAAACAAAGCTAACACTTTCTGTTGCTTTATAATTTTACACCAGGCCAGCCACAAACAAACTACTCTGTAGCTGCATCCTGAAAGAATTCCTTTTAAACATTTTTTTTTAAAAAAAAAAAACAACTAACTTGTGTGCGGTTCAGTCACTGTAATCCTCCGACTCCTCTGAATCCGAACGCTCGACCCGATTTCCCTGCCCTTCATCATCCTCATCTTCTTCTTCATCATAGTTGATAAATCCCATATATCCTTCTCCCTCCTCCATATTCCCACCATCATCTTCTTCATCATAACCATTCACATCATCTTCTTCTTCATCCTCCTCCTCACTCATCATCTCATCATCTCTGTTCAAACCACCAACCTCAACTCCACCATACCCCGACATGCCCCACTTCTCGTATCCGCTCAAATTCTCGTTCACATCATCATAATCTGAATCCCTGCCAGCTTCTTCCTCCATACCGCTGCTACTACTACTGCTCTCATTATTCTCGACCATAACATTACTACTACTATTCCTACCTCTAAAATCACTAGCCCTCTCCCGACCCGAATTCCTCGGAAAAGAGCTCTTCTCGTCCAAATAATCCTGCAAGGTCTCGTTTTCGGCCTTCTTCTCCGGTCTCCTCCGGACGGTCCTCCGGCCACGCACGTTCTTCTGCCCCGGTTCCCTCATCCCTTGCTGCATGAGGATCTGGGCCAGCGTCTCGTTTTGTTTCATGCTGCTGCTCTGCTTGGCGGTCCGTGGTAATGGGCCTGTGCCCTTCTTCTGAGACTTACCACGAGGCCAACCACCTCGTCCGCGGCTGGTGGGGGTGATGTCTCGAAGGTTTTCCAAGTTTTCTTCTTTTATGAATCCGAGCCTGTCGGGGCCCAAAGCTTCAGCCTTTAGGCCATCCTTCGGGTGGCCGTATATCTGTATGAGGTAGAAATTGAGTTTATATATATGGTCATATGAAAATGTGGATGAAATAAGAGAATTACTACTGTAGACAGAGAGAGAGAGAGAGAGACAACTGGAAGGCCTTCCAATTTCTTTCGATCGAGGGACTCGGCCTTCTGGTTCGCAGTATAGAAGATTGACCCGTCAAGCTCCAAAAGCCTCAGACCCACGGCAGCTAAAGTCTTTGGGATCCAAGGGAGTTGAGGAACACGTCCACCAGGGTAACTAAATTCACCAGAAGCAACTCTCGATGAATCTAAGCATAGCAATTCTTCTGTGGTCTCAAAATCTTCAGACAGATAATCACGTTTAACAGCAGCCTCGAGCTGAGTAAGGATCTGCAAGGTTTTTTGTACCAAGAAATGAAAACATAATAAATACAGAGGCTAACAAAATAAATTGCCTGAATCAAACGATGTTTAGGGTAAACTTGGAAAAGAAAATTCAGGATAAAATAATGTTTTCTTATAAAATTATCTTTCTGCACAAACCTGTAGGAGATCCTCGATGGACGACGATTTCTGCAGCGCGAAGCCCCACGCTTTCCTACAGTCTTCAGTCCAGGAAGAATGAAGAGCCTCAGCAGGAAGAGCAGCCTGCCATTTTAACATTTTATAAAATTTGTTGACATTTGAAAAAATAAATGACCAGATGTGTTAAAAATTCGGTCATTTAAATATTATTTTACCTCAAACGAAGATAGAATGGCCTTGATCAACCTGATTCCCAATGGAGACCAGTCTGACATAGTTAAGCCCATCCCATCAACAATATTAGTTTCTCCATTGAACTGCTTCGAAAAACTTCCGCTTTCCACAGCCTTGCTTTGAATTTCATGGCAAGAATGGCAAATGTCCACAGAATCGTACGTATCAAGGCAAATCTCACATACTCCCAACACAGGCAAGCACCTGTTATTCCCATATGCCATGGCACTTACAACCAACGGGCTAAAGCACTCTTTCCATATCCAAGCCTGTAAGTCTTTGTATCTCTTCAGAAAGACCTTTCTCTCGGTCTCATTCTTTCCTGTCTCGATTCTGAAGGAAGATAATGGTTCTGGCCCATCAGAGCTTATATTAAAAACTGCACTACTGGGGCTCTCGGCTTCTTGTCCTGCCTTGTCCCTGTTGTCGTCCGAGATGTTGGGGAATAACCGATTCCTTTGTAGACGCTGCTTGAAGCAGGCTTCAATCTTTTGCAGCATTATTTGCAAATGGCATTCTCTGGTCCCACGGGTGTCCAAAGATGTCAGAAGAGCATCAAACGCCTGCATAAAAATCTTAATTGGATTATTATACAAAATCAAAGGCTTGAACAAAATAAGATATAGTAAAATACTCAAAAGGTGTTTCTGTAATAGCATTATAGAACAAATTGAACGAGATAGATCCAACAAAGAAGGATTCAGGATTTTTATTCCAGGTCAAATATCTAACAGCATCTCATCCAATGTTAAGGCAAAGTGACAACATAGTTGATTATTATTACTCCAGCATAAACATATCCATCCTTTTCACAAACGAAGAATTCACAGAAATATATGGAAAGCTAGAGAGAATGAGATATAAGGAAAAATCTTTGCAAATATGAAACTACCTCTTCAGTATCAATAAGTCTCCAACTGCCATTGGGCGACTCAACGAAAATTCTACCGGAACCAGGATCAAAGCAAGAAGCTGTAGCAATAAACTGCCAATAACGATTTCTCCTTCTGTCTTGACCCAGAGGCAGGGACCTGTAGACATGAAGTTCCTCTGATCTATGGCCTATATAAGACTTCAGCTGCAGGCGAGACCTTTCTGTCGAATGTCCGTTCTGAGCTGGAGAAATGAACTGACCCATGGATGCATCCGGAGCCAGATTATCAATGGAATTTTGAGTATCCTCTGCCATTTCAGTTTTCCCAATATTTGTTGCTGAAAGGTCGTACATTTTATTCTCCACAGCAACTAATGGACTCAAGCCACTCTCTCCAGCAGCATTGAAAGAAGAATCATAAAGCTTGGTAATGATTTCCTCCCTCAATCGCCTTTTGTCCAGCTGAGCTGCAGCCCACATCTGCTTTTTAAGAGCATTTGCAGCATCCATTCGCTCCTGCACGAAATTTCCATAAGATTGTGCAAAACTAGAAGCTTCATATCAAAATTTACACAACTATTTCATGAACTCTATAAAATCACAGACCTCAAGAATTACACGAATCGAGTTCCCTTCATTTGCAATGCCAATCAAGGCCACAAGGGCATTGAGACGCTCCTCGACCGATAGATCTGAATATTCTCCTTCTGTGAGTCCCTGGACCCAAGGCTCACCCAACTTGCTTTCATCAATCTCAACACCTTGTTCAGGATGTCCCTCTACAATATCTTCAGAAACATCAATTGAAATGATTAAAGATAGTCCTTTGCAAGTTTTCATAATTGGTGAAAGCAGGAATCAGTAATATCCCACAAGAAACACATATCTTACCAATACTACCAATTTCATTTGGTGGGGGAGCAGCAGGGTCAGAAAGCAGCTTGTCTTTACCACTACCAGAGCATGACTCGATTTCGATACATTCACCAGTTTTGTTTGTATCAACCAAAGGGGTAGCTAAGGCATCTACTTCTGTACCCTCGCCAACATCGCTATCAGAGTCATCTTCCCTTTCTTCCTCGTCAACATTTTGACCAGCCAGAAAACCATTTGCATATCTCTGTATTTTTTCTTTAGCTGAAGCAATTATTGATTCAGCATCAGCAGGATCCTTTCTGAAAGCTGGACGTACACAGTATGTAGAAGGAGCAATTCTTTCAAACAGTACTGGATCCCTCGACAAGGCAACAGATATAGAAGCTTCTGGAGTCTTGCTTGTTGTCAGGTCTCGGAGCCCGGATTTCTAGTAAACAATGATTTAGAGTTTGGGGAGGGAGAAAAGAAGCAAGAAAGGATATTACAAATTTGTAACTACTACTTACTTGAATCTTATCAGCAAGTTCAATAACATTTAGCCCTTTGCTTCCCTCAAGAGCAAGAACATGATAAGCAGCAAATTTAACAGTTCCAGGAGTCAACCGGTGCCTGGATTTGCGCTGAAGGGATAATCCTTTCTCTTGCATGATTGCAACGGCATTCTCAACAGCTGAACCATTTCTCAAGGTGGACACAATCTCTTCACAACCTTTATTCTGAAGAGTTGAAAACAATTAGGAATGGTAAGTGAGGCATTTGCAGGACTGGTCAAGGATATGTAGTAGTGACAATGGAATTTATGCGAAAGCCAATATATTCACAATTTTACAGTACATGCAGATCTTATTGGTAATATCAACACAGGCACAAACTTGAGAACAGTCAAGAAAGACTGATCCAGCTTATTAGAAGTAGTACCTCATCATTGTCGTTTGAGGGGCCCCGAACAATGCCCTTTTTCTTCAACTGTGGCCCAAAACCAGCAGATAATGCGAATTGCCTCAACACTTCTGGCCATGTCAATGGATTAAGGTGCTTCTGCCAGTTTCGTATGTCGAAACCCCACGCATATGCCTGTTAAAGTTTATAAAATGAACATAACTGCAACACCCTAAACAAGGGAGAATAATTTCAAGATCGGGCCCAGATTTATGATTTGTTTCCAAATTAAGCTTTGGTTTTCATTGTTTTTCTGTTCGAAGCCCAAATTTAATATTGTTATCATTTTGAGATTTACATTTCAAACTTCATTCTCAAATTAAGGTTTCAAATATTATTGAGGTATTAATTAATTATTAAGGGCTCACAACCACCATTTTTTATTTAATTTTTTGTACAACTACCAAAGATTTTTTTATTTTTTTTAATGAATGAAAAGTCATTCATACTTAAAATTCAAAAATAGAAATAAAATATAATTTTATGTTGATCTATTTAAATGATTTTAACAAATTATATCTGGTCAGAAGATTAAAATATATTGCTGATCAATTCTTTTACATCTAACATTTCAAATTCTAGATAAAACTGGATTTTTAATTTCTATCCTTAATATTCACGTATGAATTCATATTGTTTTCCATAATGAAAAAACAATTTTTGTAACCAATCAGAAAAGTAAATAAAAGAAAATGATGGCCGTGAGTTCTTACTGAGTTAATTAATGGTTGAATGATATTTGAAACCTTGATTTGAGAATGAAGTTTGAAATATGAATCTTAAATTGACAATAATTGAAAAACGGGGTCCCGAACTGAGAGACAACAAAAATCAAGTCTTAATTTGAGAATAAATCATAGATTTGGGCCCCATCTCAGAATTCTCTCCCCTAAAGAATGGAAGTTAGAATTAGAAGCACTGAAATGAACAACTACCCCTTGAACAACATGAGGATGCCCGCCTTCAGGATTAACAGCACTATATTGGTTTGTGCCTGGTCCACCTGAAGGAGCTCTCACAACATCTTCAATATCTTTTACAATTAGTTTAAGAATTGCAATATGTACCTCGCCAAGCAGTCTTGAATCCTGCAAAAGGGAACATGATCTTTGAGATGTATTATGTGCACGTGCGCACACAGAAAGAGAGCAAAAGGGACACACGTAGCGGAGGTGGGTGTGTTTAACATCTTAAAAGAAAAAGAAAAAAAAAATATGGGAAGTAATTTCAGGCTTTTTTTGCCACAGGAGATGGAGGGCACAAAGAAAGAGGGAACAGGCAAGATAACATAGGCTAGTCACAAGTATGAAAACCAAGTGTAGCCTCACTCACATAGTCATGCAAAGCTTGTAGGAATTCATCAAGGGTAAAAGGCCAAAGCCCAAGAATATCTGCAAATGTGATGCAAAATTTCCAGACCTGAATGAAGCAATCATTATTTCAGAAACTTATCTTCTGCTGTTTATTCATGCAAAAACATGTAATATACAGCAAAAAGAAACGTTTGTTCAAATGTTTACCATCATGAGGTTGCCAACATTTTCCTCTGAACCCATCCAAGGTTGGATGCCAAAAGGCATTTTCAGTTGTACAGACTTCGGTGGGAATTCACACAAGGCGTCTGAATCACATAAAACTTTAATCAGATTCTTGAAATTTTGTTAGAGAGAAAAGACAGAGATAAAGAGAAGGATTCTAAATATGCTACAAGCATCCTTATCAGTATTTAATCAGAATATATTTAACGGTATTTTAGCAAGCATTACTGACCTCGGAACAACTCAAGGTTTTGTAAAGTGTCGTAATCAAGAGCCAAAATTGAAGGAAATCCTTTGCTTGAAGCAGCCAATTCCATTAGCTCCAGGCGCTCATCTTCTATTAAATCCATTGACTCTTTAGCAATTCTCCGTGCTGTTGCTCTCTCCATGGCAGCTCTCTGTCTAGCTGCTTCCTTCTCTCTCCGGCGCTCTTCTTTTTGTTTCCTCCTCTCTGCCTGGAGATGAGGAAATTGAAAGTGAACAAAATTGTAACCGACAAAAAATTTATATTATATTATGTAAAACAACAATACTACAGAATTTATGATACAAGTTAAGACATACCCGCAAAAGTTCCTTCTGCATAAATTTCTCCCTCCGTTCCATTTCACGCCTCTCCTCCCGCTGAAATTTCTCCTCCTGCTTCTGTTGCTCTCGCATAATTCGTAATTCTTCTTTCCTTCTTTCACGATCTTGTCTCTCCATTTCTTTCCTCATTTGCTCCTCCCTCTAGGAAGGACAAGATTATAATATTGCATGATTTTCAGCAAAAAAAAAAACTAACATCAAGTACAGCATGTTCAGTTCGATGAAGTTTGAGTCGGTCTCAGTATAAAATCGTGAAAGGAGAAAGTTCAGACCTTTCGCCTTAAAAGGTCTTGCTTCTCGAGCTCTTTCCGTATTTTCTTCTCATTGGCCTGAACTTCTCTTCCAAGTCGAGCTTCATCACTCTATAGGAGATAATAAACAACAGACTTTTATAGTTCTATATACCACATAAAAAATGATTATACCATTTGGCAACAAGATTGTAATTATCTAGAATTACCTTGCGTTTTCTCTCCACGTGCAGACTGTTATCATTGGGTATAACAAAATCCATATTTTTTGGAGATGATGGGAACTGTATTTGCCTGCTTGGTTGCTGAGAATACATACCCATGCTTGATACCTGGTCCCCAACATGTTCCCTGGGCAGATTCCCATTTAAATGCATATTTGACAAACCTTTTGTCGTGGGACCGTTAGGTGAGTCGTGTAAATATGACGAGGCCGCATGCTCATACACATCGGTCCTAATTTTAGAGTCCACCCCTTCATGAGTGTTAGTCGATGAAGCCTGAGAACAGTGTAATCAAAGAACAAGTGATCTATCATGACATCCAGGAAGAAAAGAAGTAAAGACATATCATAAGTTCACATTTGATGTTAGAGAACCAACTTTGATATGCTTCACACTGTATTGCCCATACAAATTGGTATCATAAGAATGCCTGTACCCGTCTTGCTGTTCTCTAGGCACTGTCTTGCAACATAATATAAAAAACACGTTAGTATTTTTACAATAACGTAATACAACTAGAGGAAGAGAACTGAAAGTGCCGTAAAACCACCATTACTAAAAAGCAAGCAATCATTTACTTTTCAAGTTTTTTTTTAACTTTTATTAGTACAGTATTGACCAAAAGATCAAGCCCTACACAGATCAGCAACCCAGTAGCCATTAGAAAAAAGAGTTAGAATCTCTCGAGCCTTTAGAGATTTCCAGTTTCATCATAAAGGAAAGCATAACTAAAGCACCAGAAAATTACAAAGCCGTAATCAATTCACGGCTAAAAGCCTTGGTCTTGACACACCAGACACTTTCGACAAAAGCATACAATCATCAAGATCATTGATTTAGTTATAAAAGAAAAAACTAGTCATCCATATAATAGCATCGATAAACTCCTACTTTAATTCCAATGGCCAATTTATTGTTACTTCAGAACGAAAACTAAATGTACCTATAGGTGCACCAAATGCACCAGGTGGCAGCTCATCAAACTCAACACCAAGAACAGGCCCATCTTCCCTTAAAGGCTCTCCCAATTGGGCCTCCACACAAGCTATCACTCTCCTTTCCATGATCAACTGAGGTGACTCATAATACCTTGATGGCACAACTGGAGTATCATCTCCATTATTGAACCCACTCGAACCTGACCCTGACCCAGATGCTGATCCAGAACCTAAGTCATGTCCATTGACAGGCTCGGCCGCCATCAACTCCTCCCTTGAGGACTCGGCCAATCCCTTCCTCCCAGTGGACGCAATCGGGCGTGGCTTTATGGCTGGGACACCCGAGGCCTCCTTCTTATCCTTCAACCGCCTGTGACAGAACCACATCTGCAATTGTCTATCGGTTAAACCTAATTTCTCAGAAAGTTCTGCACGGATCGCCTCAGATGGGTACATCTCCACTGGGGAAAAAAAATAAATAAATAAAAAAAGAGCATAAATTTCGTCAGTGAACAGCACACACCATCAGACTCGCTAAAAGCATATCTCATCAAAGCTAAAAAAAAAATAAATCAACCCACAAATTCTGGTTTAAGTTCCCCACCAGAATTTCAAGAGGTTTTGTATCACTCAGCATAACAAATGATGATCTCAATCAAAATAACAGAAAAATGCCAACTGAATTGCTCTAAGCCCCCCAATTCTCTAATTTTCTACAAACATGTATACCAGCACACACAAACACCAAATTAATCAGAAAAAAAAAGAGGCAAAACTACAGAAATAAACAACACCCACAATCCCAATCAAAACAACAATGAAAACCCATACTTGCATATGTTTTCTCGAGCATCTCCAACTGAAATGGCGTCTTCATCTGACGCTTGGGTCTCTTCGACCCCTCCGCCTGATCCATGCCCTTATTCGCATCCCCCTCAGAGCCCGCCTCCATGGCAGATCGATCGACCAATCAATCAATCAATCAATCCGCAGCCCACAAACCCTAGACAAAAAAATCAAGACTTGCCCACACGAAAAGGCTAGGGTTTGAACAACGAAACCAAAAAAAAAAAGAAGAGGAATTTGACGCGCAGCGCATGTGATGTACACAAATAATGATAACAACACCACCACCACATAGAGAGAATGGGATATAAATAAATATATAAATAAAAATATATATATACAAGAAAATTTGGGCTGAGCGTGATCGCGAATGAGAGAATATACCAAAAAAATATGGGAGAGAGAAAATTCAGATGAAAATTGGAGATTCAAAGAGAGATTATTATTAATAAAAATGAATAAAGTCGAGAAATTAAAAGCAACAACGCCACAGTAATAGTATCTTGTCTGCCTCTTGCTTCTATCAAATTCCATCCCTTTCATTTTTCTTAATTGTTGTTTTTCTTCTTTTTTTCGCCTTTTGCTGAGGGAAAAAATTGCTTAATTTGTTGGTTTTTTCGTGTTGTGTTTTTATCGATTGAAGCACGTAGTATAATACTCGACTCGACTCGACTCGACTTGTTTGAATTGGTGATTTTAATTTATTAGTTATGTTTTTTAAGCTTTTTTTTTTCTTGTAAGTGTGTTTTTGGGCAAAAAATGTAAAGCGTTGAAAGGTGAAGACTTTTTTTGTTTACATGAATTTTCTGGGTGTTTTTGGTATTTGTGTGGTTTGCTTGACTTGTAATCTATTGTTTTATGGTCTTAGGCGCAAATTAATCTGATGCACGACGCACGAGCCTCGTCTTTGTTATACAAATTGGGCTTTCTGTATTGGGCCGAGCCACAGGTGAAACTTGGGCTTAAATTAATGTGTTGGATACTGATGCTTTGCAACCTAAGCGGTATGGCTAAGCTTACTCATCAAGGGCCGATAGATAGAGCAGCTCTTGTTGCTAATGGAGAAAGATTGGAGTGACGAAGCGTGCGTTGTGCCATGGCTTTGAAGTCCGGCGAACGGCGGATGATTTCCTCAAGGGCATAATCGTCCCGAGTCCCGTCTTAATCAAGCCCCCGTTTGTATGGCTTTCGTCGCTTCCTTGTGCAACCATAGCACTCGCCCAACAAAGGGTTCTCCCGGATGCTAGTATACGTCGCTTACCCCCATCATCTTGCTGTCAAACCCTCATCGATGAATCTACAAAATCCTTCAAATTGTATCTGATTAAACCCAGGTATTGTAGACATTGCCTCATTTGCATCCTCGAGCATTTTGAATTTCCCATTTATAAAAAAATCCCCTTCTGTCTTTCGGAAGAGTAAGAGCATATTTGTTTCAAGCGTAAAGGCATTTCTTCATTTCTTATTCAACATTAGCTGCTTTAGTAGGCAAAGAAGCCATTTCATACCTTACTGTAAAAGGCAAAGATTTTTTATTGTTTTTGGAAAAAGAAGCAGTCCTACCCCTGTTAATTAACATATTAACATTAACATAGGACCTGGAAGTGGAATGAAAGGTATAATCCGATCTGGCTTTCGACTTATTCAGCTCTTGAAGTCGAAAGAGCACAGCATCAACCAAGTAGCTCTAATCAGGAATTAAAGCGCTGCTAAGGCTTAACTCCTGTATAGGGCTTCCCTTGCTGCCCCATAGAAGCTCAACTACCAACTTTCACTCTTTTCCTTCAAACAAGCAACGGATTGAGCAACTAGCGCGAAAGCAAAAAGATTCGTTCATTAAGTGTTGTAAGTCGAAACACATTCATTTGTTGATGGATCTCTTATTTATTTACTTATATTATTCGGAATCCTGAACCTACGCTTGTCATCTCGTTACCTTGGACCTTCGCCCTTTCACTTGAACCTGCGCCTGAGACCCTAGCACCTACTCGGACAGGAACTCATAAGAGACAGCTATAGCTCTCGACTCGGTCCCTGCAACCCTGCTCGACAAACCGGTCCATTTCTTTACGACGGATGGAGGTGCATGGCGATGGGAGCTCTTTTCGCATTTAGTGCCGGCGGGAGCAGAGCGGGTCTAAATTCAATGTGGACCATTTTATGCCCTTCGAGCTATGGCTTGGTCGGGGGTAGACCTGTGGCTCACCTCGTTCCCTATTTAAGGCGGCTAATTTTCTCAATAGTAATTGATCAAATAGGGTGATCACAAGATCACTAATCAACCTATTGTATGCGCCGAGCCATTTCGCCTAACGGCTGTACAGGAACTCAAAGGCGGAGTATCGAGTTACCACAGTTGTCTTGTGCTCATCTCCCTCCTTGATTCGGACCTGCCAGTAGCCCGAACGAAGATCAATTTTCGAGAAAGACTTCGCCCTGCAGAGACGGTCGAAGCAATCCCGACACTTCACTACGTCATGGCATCGATCTCGACCTGCTTCGTTTGTTTTTGACCCGGGGATGAGTTTGGATAAGCGGCGGGCTCAAAACAAATAGAATCTTGTCAAAACAAACAACTCTACTCAAAATCTTAGTCGGGCTAGGGTCATTGAGGAATACCCGCGGTGAATATGTACTCGGCCCTTTTAAATACTTCGTTGCATCGCAATTATGGTTTGGAAGTCGATCCAGGGCAAGTCCTATTTTTTATTTTTATGAAGAGAATGAATCTTTTTCTCGAAGGATCTCCTGCGGGAATGATTTGGTGGTATTTGCTATCAACAAGATAATGGAGGGTTTTGGGATAATCAGGCTCGAACTGATGACTTCCACCACGTCAAGGTGACACTCTACCGCTGAGTTATATCCCTGCCCCATCGAGAAATAACCGGACCCTTCGTGGGCTGCCTACGTATCTCGAAGAGGGGCATAAGAGAATCAGGTCGTCGTAGTTAAAAAAAAAAAGATCTACAGGCACCTGAGATTACTATAAAATGGTGTATGTTAAGTGTTATATGTCGACTTATTAGTCTTCAATGTTGTGATGTTATTTTATCTAAATTATTTGTCTTAAATGTTGTTGATTACACCGTCATGTCGTAGGACAAGCACAAAATGCTCATCGGCCACACGGTCAACTGCTTCGGTGGCTTGGTCAAGATCATCGACAACACCTCCACTCGAGTGGGAGAATTTTGTTGA